ATATTTGAAAAGTTTATATAATTATTGTACTGACCTTTTAATTTCGCCGGCAGTAAACTATAACTTAAATTCGGACACGGACTCCACTGTAAAGTGCTCATAAAACATTTTCTTTACTTTCCTGTGAAAAACTGTAAATTTTCAAGAAATACATTTCGATTTATAACCTTATAATCTGTATTTATAAAATAAAAAAATGTGACATTTGACGGTGACACACAGATTCCCCTATTGTTTCATAGATGGCGCTCTATACAAATTTTTGATTTAAATCATTTTAAAATAATGGGCATTTTAGTCACGGACCAACTAGCTTTATTATAAATTGGGAAAACGTGGGTTTAAAGTCTAGTCTCTAGACACTCGTTTTTATTAAACACTTGCTCGCGAGCTTCGCTCGTGCTTAATTAAACTCGTAACTAAAACGGCGTTTATAAAACTATTATTCAGCGTTCCTTCTAGATCTTATTTTTAACTAACCTTATAATCAATAGTCCAATTGTGAGGTCTAAAGATCTTGATGGCCAACTAATACATTCACAACAAAATATTTGGTAAAAATACCTTGCGCTGACCTTGTGTTGTCATAATTGCGCCTATCCAAATTATATAATCTAGTTTACATAGGAATTCAAAACTAGGCTAAGTAAACAATTTTAGTATAATAACAACACTTTGTGATGTCTTATGATTTTCAATTCATGTATAGGATTTTTTAAATTTATTTTTACATTATTAGATTACACTTTTTTTAAGCGCTAATAATTTATGTATTATAACACTCATAAGCCTATATAGAAATACTTCCTATTTGTACGCAGTTTGAAAGTGAAATTAATATACGCCGTTGTACAATAATAAAAATAAATTGAAATTACATAGGAAGAGTGGTTCCATCTATAGCGCTTAGCTTGAAATCAGCAAAGGACATTTCCTAGAATAAATTCAAGAATATTTCTCTTATTTTTAGGTATAAATTAAAAAATAAGATTTAAATTAAATAAAAATTCTGGAGCAAACCGCTTGTTGTTTCTAAACCATAAAAATGGTGGGTATAAAAGTTGATTATTAACAAACACTTATATCATTAATTATAATTAATATTAAAGTAAGATAAAATAACTAAATCAAACGTATATCAATAATTAAATTTAAATATTTTATTACATAAAGATTGAATTTTACAGAATTAATTAACATTAAAACACTGGAATAAACTAGAATAGATATTGTTCAATTGTTCATTTAAAAGTTCAGAAGTCGGGAAAAGGTTACATACCTAATTCAAATAAATTGCGATTTAAGTTTTAATGTAAATAATAATAACCGTAAAAGGCATAAGGGGATAAGTAAAAAAAATCAATTTTTTAGTAGTGCCCTAAACATGTTCGCATTAATTTAGGAAATACATTTATGGTTAGCAGGTATACCCTTTTGCCAGCACATGTCATATGCTAACAAAAGGGAACACCTTTAAGTCTCTACCGAAAAATTGCTTTTTTGACTTATCCCCTTATGCCTTTTACCCACAGAAATATTAAAAACTTTCAATATTTAATTTTGTTTTTCTTCTCCAACCCTTAAAACGCCCATGAAAAATGCTTTATCCAAGCGTCATATTTTATCCAAGCCTTTAAAACTGAAATTAACCGACTACTGCGATGTTGTGTATGGTCCCTGTCTTGATAAGGTTAATATTAATCGTATTGAAACAGTGCAGTCATGCCTTCGTTATACAAATGGTATAAAAATTACGATCTACAAGAACGTTAATGGGTTAATATGGAAAATAGGCGAAAACTTCATGCTAGCAGCTGTTACACTTTTCCTTAACATTATTTCAAACAAAAGTCAAAAATATTTGTACAACTTTTAGAACTGATGTCCACACATTAAATTTAAGACATGAAGGCTTTATATCTCCACCTCTTCATAAGACCTCTATATTTACACGGTCTGTTACTTACAACGTTTATGCATTATAATTATTATATTGTATAATAGTTTATTCCACTCATTTAAAACGGTTAAAATTTATAAATTTAAATAGGTTTATAAAAAGTATTTGCTTGAAGTAACTTTAAAGTAAAACAGCTTATTTCTTTAATTGTTTTTGTTTTGTTACTTTTTTGTGTGTTTAAATTACTTTTCTTTGGGGACTGGAATTTAAAAATCAGTTTAAAACTGCCTTCCAGATTCCTTCTTATTTTCTTTAAAATTATTAAAAATAAGTTTGAATTATTTTGGTTTCTAAAACTGTTTATTATTATTATTATTATCGTAAATGTTTTCATAACATTAGTATTTGCCGATAAAGCATTAAACATTTCGGGTGGAGTACCCATAAACATCCACTTCATTTTGGTTGTGAAAACCTGCTTATATATCGAATTAAAACGGTTTTTTTCAAGGAAGAAATTTGATAAACTAACACTGCCATTTTAAAAGCCGGCAAAACAGATCTCATACATACATAGAGAGGCTCCTAAAACTCGGTACATTCACCTTTTACCTAATCATAAACTTGGTTTTAAAAAGTATAAAAATATATTCAATTAAATGTTCAAATTATTTTACGTAACTCCTCTGGCAAAAATTCAAAAACTATATTTAATTCGGATTTTCCGTAATTTTATAAATATCGTCGGACCTCATGATTGCACTTACGCTTGAAATACATTTTGGCGGGATCGTGCGGAAGTCCGAGTTTTTTACAAGTTAAATTATGCCGTAAAATTCAGCCTTGTGCTAAATATTTCGCAATTTTTCATTTGATCAATTCAAAAAGAAAAAATACACTGGGAAACATGAAACAAGATTCATTTAGTCCGTGAATTAAATGGCGAAGAAGTTTTGCAAAACTATGACTATGACAATTTAAATAAGTTTAAAATAAGGGGCAAAACACCTCAAGTGTTCCCACCTAAAAATGATGTTTTCTCCGATTTTAACAAAACTTTGCCAAATCATTGTCCTATTGGACTACCTTAATTTTCCAAATGGGGGGCAAAAAGGATTAGCGGGTTGCAGAGATACAGGGGCCTGAAATATTATATTTTTTCTCGTGCGCTTAAAAGACGTCGAAATATTCATGTATATAATAAACTTTTTTTAAATTGATAATCAACATATCGTATATCATTTTTTCCACGCTTTACGATAAAAATGGTCTCGAAAGCGAGAAAAAATTTTTTGGTTATAAAAAAACGATTTTAAAAATATACCTATTTGTTTTTTTCTCGAAATGTGACACATTTGATTTTTTATTAATTAATATCAAAAGAAAGCTTTTTCAATTCCCTAAATTTTGATGTAATATAAAGATGGGATCCCAAGAATACGTCGAACAAAATAAGGGTTGAAGCGCGTAGGGACAGTGATTTGGCAAAGTTTTGTTAAAATCGGAGAAAACATCATTTTTAGGTGGGAACACTTGAGGTGTTTTGCCCCATAAATAAATATAATCTAAAATCTGTCAGATCGTTCTAACTTTATTATAATCGCTTTATTTTTACGATTGTATGACATTTGACAGATTAAATGACATTTATCAACTAACTTAAAGCTAACTTCAGCCCGTGACTAAATCGGCATAAAGCCACAGCTTGTCAGTGTGTTTTTTAAAGGTGGAAGTACAAAAATAGAAATGTGTATTAATTTAAGTTTACTTCACTTTTTAATATAAATAGGCCCTAGTTACAGAAAAATAAATTAATGGTGAAGTTTCACCTGTCACTTGATATTTTCAACGCTCCTATTAATTTTAACTCGCCCCTTTTTGGGGACATGAAATAGTTGAACATGAATAAAAACATGTTTAACAACATACAAACGCGTAGTAAAAACTACGTTCGTATTAAAAAAATCGCCACGTGTTTTAATTTATTAGAAGGATAACCTTGCTCTATTTTTATTTTGCGATTATTATATAAATTATTTGCGAAAATTTTGCAATTTTTATCTATAAATAACAAACAATAAATTAGGAATTTTGTTTGATTGTTGTAGAAATGGCTTGTTTAAAATACCACATAACATAAATCTTATTCATTTTACTTCCTCGTTCCAATTCGTTACTATTAGATTAATTTAATTTATCAATGTGATAATGCGGAAATAAAAATTCTATAGGTATACAATGATCTCTATATCTAAATCTATTGCTTCTCCATCGCATCTAGTGTGCTGTGAAGATTGCCGAACTTTGATTCGTTTGTTACTTTCTAGAGATCAGTTTTAATACAAAATCTCAAATTTTAAGACACCCCCAGTAACTTTTTTATTTGATACATGCACGTATGAAACACCCTGTATATGTAAAAATCCAAATTCCTAAACAGCAACAAAAATAAAATAAAGTAAATCTGCTTTAGACAGTTGGACCGGCACTTAAGAATTCCTGTATGGTGTTACATGTGATCTCGAGTATAAAACGTGTTTTAAGTTCCCCTCTTTCAGGTTATATTCGTAGTTCTGGCCAAAAATTTGCGACGTAGTTACGCGTGGTTTAAAACCGAGTAAATATTGATTTTTAAGTTTATGATTTAACAAATAATAGGCACCACAACAATAATTCATACTCTTTGGCATACATACAAAAGATCTTTATTATCACATCGGCAATGCATTGGTAATTCAAGCGTAAAATGTTTATTTTGAACGTCAAATTTTCCAAATGAAAGTGAGATTATTTACTTAAGTAAAATTATATTTAAAAGAATGTAATTAATATTTTCTCCAAACATTTTAAATGAATGTTTACTTTTGATGCATAAAGTAAACACAAAATTTCATGGCAACTTTTAACGCGCACTCTCAAGAAACCACTTTTCCTTTCGCTTGTAATGCCAGTAATTACAAGTTAAAATAACAACGTCCCTACATGCGAAACGCATCTAAATCTTTACAAAACATGATCCTCGACACTTGTTGCGACTTTTAGTAGCAATTTATCTTTAAATCTTTGCATAATTTACGGTAAATCTTGTAAATTTACTTACCGATTCAGACTGAACTCGCACGCCCGCCATGATGCCAAACACAAACTGGTGGGGCGAAATAGGCGAAGTACGCCTTATTGGCGGATGCATAAGGGCTAATTTCGCACCGGTGGTTTTGAAGGCCAAGGCGCAAATTTGCCAAAACAATGGCCCATTTGCATTGCAATAAAAACTAATCGAAATCCCATACCGGGCCGGTACGATTTCGGCATACGCAGTTTTGAAAGTAAATTAACACAAATTTAATTTAGTGTCTAGAAAAATTTATAAACGAGTAGCATACCTACTAACTTTTTCTAAATCAAATTTTTGTATAGAGTGCCATCTATAAAACAAAAGGGGAATCTGTGTTAGCGTCAAATGTCAAATTTTTATGTGTTATAAATCGATATGTATTCCTTGAAAATCGATTAACAACAGTTTTTCACAGTGAAAGTAAAAAAATGTTTTATGAGCACTTCACGGTAAAGTCCATGCTCGAATTTGTTTATCCAGTTAACTTCCGGCTTAAATTTAAGTTTTATTTTCTGAATTGCAATCGAAAAATATTCTGACTGTTGTTAATAACAACTTGTTATGGCTGTCTTTATAAAACTATAGTTTGGCTACCGAACGTGAATAATTCAATTATTGATGTGCTACTGTAAATAATCTACAGTTTTTCCGCAGATGGGGTAACAAATGGGATTTTTTTTTTACATTTCTCAGAAAATTCTTAAAAGTTTTTGCTTTATTTCAAACCCCCAGAATTCTCTAGAGATTTCCGTAATAATAACATTTATTGTAAAGACAAATGAATAATTTATATTAAAAAAATTCAGAAAAATCAAAATTGCAAACTTACGATAGACAATAAAAATGGTGTGTCCCATATTCTGGAGGTTTGAATCAAGAATGACATTTTCTGAGAAATTAAAATATTTGTTTCCTTTTATGACTATTCTGCGGCAGAATTTCTGCCTACAATAAACCGTATGTCATTTTTTATTTTTGTTTTAAACTGAGCTTAAAGATTATTCATTACTGTTTTTTTTTGTTTTTTAAAAAAGATTTAAATTTGTATCATTAAAACCTCTCAAATTTTCTGAGAGAGTTATAAAAAGGTACCCTTTAATAAAAAAAACTATATTAATTCTGTAAAAATATATTTCTTCAAATTTAACATTCAAATTACAGTCAACTTCTTTATCAACAAAATTACTTAGTTACTAGTAGTGACTAATAAAAAGTTACGATTTGTAACTATGTAAAATTAAACGAATTTTGTATAAATTTGGTTTTGACATACCAATAGCTAAAAATGAATTCCAAAAAATGATTAACCTTCTGGTTTAACAATTTTCAATAAAAATTTATAACACTAACAATACTTGAGTCCCTGGTAAAATAGTACCAAAATTATATTTTAAATACACTCAAAGAAGCATATTTGGTTAATATTTACATTTGCATAAATAAATATACAGGGTATGGTTTATCTATACAGGTACCTTTTGAAGAATAAAAAAATCCTCATTAGATGTACTATTTTTGAAAACTTATATAAGAAATCTGTTACAAACAAGTTTTCCCAAAAAGCCATTTTCAAAAAGAAAATAGCATATTTTAAAAAGCCTCAATACGAAACTAAAAACGAATATTTTTTATTTGACTTTGCATGAAAATATTTTATTTAACATATTTTAAAAACGCTTGATTTTTGGGAAAATATTTTAGGATTTAACATATGTTTATCGTTTTTTGCCCCCCCCTACAAAACAATATTAAATTACTATATAAATATTTAGTCTATGATTTAGTCTTCTTTTTCTTTTTATTATGACTATCTTCGCTTAGACTATGTTTACGTTTTTTTACTTTTTCGTTGCCAACCATTTCGCTTTTAACGCTGTTTAGTATGTCTAACACCAAGTCAGCTGACATTTCAGGTTCTTCAGGTAATTTTTGCTCTTCTTTTTTCTTCTTTTTCGACTTTTTTACCTGTGGAGTTTCACTGTTAATCCTGCTAACTTCCGGATTGAATTTGGGCGATTTGAAACCACTGCTTATTAAAGTGCTGTTTATTATTGAAGGTCTGCGCATGTGCACTTGCTGCGTTTCTAGTGCAGAATTTTCTGCAGCGTCCTTTTGCTTCTTCTTTTTCTTCTTGGATTTTTTACTTGTTTCCTCTATATGCTGCTCTTTTACAGTTTCGCTTAATAGTTGATTAATCAAACTTTCAGAGTCATCTTTACTTTTATTTTTTGCAGCCTTATTTTTACTTTTCTTTTCGGAACTGTGCGCGTTCAATAAATCGAATATTAAAGGCGTTTTTTCTCGTTCGGGTTCCTTTCTCTTCTTGGGTGTCTTATTCTTGGATTTATTTTGTATTGCCTCTCGCAACTTCTGCTCGATAATCTCGTCCAAATTAATTTTCTTCAGATATTCAGCCCCGAAAAGCGGATGCCTTGTTTTCAGGTTTTCCGGAAGCGGAACCGCCCTATTTTCCGGTACCGTAATTTCCGCCTTTCCGTCGGTTTTCACGTACTTTTCAAACTTGTACCTACCGGCGAATTTTAAGCATTTGACTTTGTTGGTTACCATAAAGTTAACGTCGGTTTTTTTAAGCGGTTTGATGGCATGTTTTTCATTATCGATTTTCAGTTTTTTTCTACCTGTAAAATCGAGTTTTTGCGATTGTGACAGCGCCAAATTTACAGGGGCGTGAAGCAAATATATTTCTTCCGATTCTGAGAGGTCTGAAAGGCAATTTTCAACGGTTATTTTATTTGCACCTGAGTACTGTTTTTGGACAATTTCTTCTAAGGAGGGATTCTAAAATATTTATAAAGTTTTTTACTGTTTTGGACTAAGTTATAAATATGTTAATAAATAAATAAAAATAATTACCTCACTATCTGCACATTTTAAAGGACCATTATGAATAATTCTTTTCCTATCACCATTATCAGGATCATATGAAATAGCTGATATGTTAAAACCTAAAAATATAAAAATTGTGACGCCAATATTAATTTATTTAATTAAAACTTACCATTATGGTGGTTTTTCTTGGTGGCTTCTTCATTAGATGAACTCTCATCACCTGATGATTTTTGAAGATTTCTTTTTGATTGACTGGCAGTTTTATTTAAATTGCTTTCACCATCATCATTATCTGAAGCTGAATCCTCTGATGAATTATGAAGTTCTTCTTTCTTGAGCGGTTTATGATTCAGTTTTGCACTTTTTGAGGTATTTGGTTTTACTTCATCGTCCGATGAAGAGCCTGTATCTTCTGATGATGCTTCCTCTTTCTTCAAAGGCTTATGATTTAGTTGGGACGTATTAAATACTTTTTGAGTTTGATTTACTTCATCATCTGACTCTTCTGACGATGATCGATGAAGTTCCTCTTTTTTAAGTGGTTTATGATTCCATTTAGGTTTACTAATTGACGTCAAATTTTTGCTATGATTTTCTTCATCATCCGATGAATCCTCGGAATCTTCTGAAGATTTTTTAAGTAGTTCTTCATCGTCTGAATCCTCCGATGATTCTTCTTCTTTTTTAGGTGTTCTTTCGTCAAGTTTGACCTGAGGTTTCGTTTTTGTTGATGAGTTATTTTGTTCATCGTCCGATGAATCCTCTAAATCTTCTGATGAAGATTTCTGAGCTTCTTTCTTAAGTGGTTTATGATTTATTTTGGGTTTATTTTTTTGCTCTTCATCATCTGATGATGAATCAGCTAAATCTTCTTTTTTAAGCGGTTTATGGTAAAGTTTGACCCGAGGTTTTTCATTAGGTTTCGTTTTGTAGGCTTTTTTTAGCATTTTAGGTGAAGCTGAAGCTAAAGTTACATTATTTTGTTCTTCATCTGATGAATCCTCTGAGGAAGATTTCTTAACTTCTTTCTTCAGTGGTTTGTGATTTATCTTATGTGTATTTTTTTGGTCTTCATCATCTGATGAATCATCCGAATCCTCCAATGTCTCTTCTTTTTTAAGTAGTTTGGCCTTATTAGGTTTTATTTTGGACGCTTCTTTTGTCATTTTAGGGGAAGCTGAAGCTAAAGTTGTATTATTTTTTTCTTCAGCTGATGAATCCTCTGAAGATTGATGAACTTCTTCCTTAAGTGTTTTATGATTTATCTTGGGGTTATACTTTTGTTCCTCATCATCCGATGATGAATCATCTGAATCATCCGACGATTTTTCTTTTTTAAGTGGTTTATGGTTAAGTTTCATTTTGGAAACTTCTTTTTGCATTTTAAGTGAAGCCAAAGCTGAAGTTGTATTATTTTGTTCATCATCCGATAAATCCTCTGAATCTTCCATGGAAGATTTTCCAACTTCTTTCTTAACAACTAATTTTGGAGTAGCCACAGATTTACTTTGAACTACATAAAGTGGTGATTTATTTTGCTGTGCTTCATCAGAATCTTCAGACGATGATTCTTTCTTGAGATGCTTATGATTCAGTTTAGTTTGCTTTGGTTTTGTTTTTGATGGTTTTTTCGTTGCAGGTTTTTTTGCAGTTACTTTTTTTACAATTTTTTCTGAATCTGAGTTTGATGATGAATCAGAACTCATCTGTTTTTGCATATTAAGTGAAGCCAAAGCTGAAGTTGTATTATTTTGTTCATCATCCGATGAATCCTCTGAATCTCCCATAGAAGATTTTCCAACTTCTTTCTTAACAACTAATTTTGGAGTAGCCACAGATTTACTTTGAACTACATAAAGTGGTGATTTATTTTGCTGTGCTTCATCAGAATCTTCAGACGATGATTCTTTCTTGAGATGCTTATGATTCAGTTTAGTTTGCTTTGGTTTTGTTTTTGATGGTTTTTTCGTTGCAGGTTTTTTTGCAGTTACTTTTTTTACAATTTTTTCTGAATCTGAGTTTGATGATGAATCAGAACTCATCTGTTTTTGCATATTAAGTGAAGCCAAAGCTGAAGTTGTATTATTTTGTTCATCATCTGATGAATCCTCTGAATCTCCCATAGAAGATTTTCCAACTTCTTTCTTAACAACTAATTTTGGAGTAGCCACAGATTTACTTTGAACTACATAAAGTGGTGATTTATTTTGCTGTGCTTCATCAGAATCTTCAGACGATGATTCTTTCTTGAGATGCTTATGATTCAGTTTAGTTTGCTTTGGTTTTGTTTTTGATGGTTTTTTTGCAGTTACTTTTTTTACAATTTTTTCTGAATCTGAGTTTGATGATGAATCAGAACTCATCTGTTTTGTTTTAAATTTATCTTGCATTCTTTCAAGTAGACTTAACTTTTCTTCATTGCTATCACTCTCGCTGTCGCTACTATCTTGTTTACCATTAATTTCATTTGCAATACTATTATTGGGTTCATCTTTATTGGAAGAATCACTTTCAGATTGTGAGACCACTTCTTTCTTAATATTTTGAAGTAAATGCATTGGAAGAATAACTTTATTCGATTCTAACAAAATGTGTTTTTTCTGTGGTTTATGGAAATCAGAATCACTACTGGCACTTTTGGGTTCTTGCTTGACAAGTAACTTACTTTTTTTCTTTTTATTGTTTATACTCACTTTTTCTTTGACAATTTGTGTGGACACAGCCATAGGTGAAAAATTTGTTTGTGTATGATCTGAGTCTGATGAATCTTTGCTTGGTTTTAAATTTTTTTTTAAAATACCAGCAGCTTTACTGTTCGAGGCATTTAAACCTTTACATAGTAAGTCCTTTTTATTGGTTAAATTTGCTGACTGAAATAGTAACTTATTGATACTAGCCCTTTGATTACCACGTTTTTTTACACTTTCAGTTTCAGATGCAATTTCAGACTTGATTTTAACCATTTTCAAACTTATTTTATTCCTTCTCTGTGATTTTTATCTGCTCAACATGCTTTCCAAATATCAAAACAAATGCAAGAGGTTAGGAATTAATTAACATGGAAATTAATTACGTTTCCCAATTAAACCAACAATTGACGCTAAAAAGTCGTTGTACGGTCATAAATTATAAATGTTTGTGTTTTTTTCTAGAAATCTCTTCACATGCTTCTATTTTTCACGTTGCCGCGTGCACTACTTTGCAAATACTGCGCATGCGTTGAATATATAATTTTTTAAAAAAATACTAGTAATGTTTAATTACCACCCAATTTTAGATAATCGTAAGTTTAAGTTACAAATTAATTTTTATATTTATTTGATTTATTGTCTTAATTTAAAGAAAACTTAAATTTTAATATTTTAATAATCGTAACTTTAGACACAAAACTGTCATTCGGCAGTGCAGCCAACATAGGATAATTTATAGGTTAACATTTTTAATTGGAGGTTAAAAATCGTAATTTTAAAATTTTTAAGGGATACACGTATAAAATATAGAAAACCCCTTCAATAATATAAACTGGATACCTAACAGGAGGTGTACAATGTACCCCTACAATTGTAAGTAGCTGAATTATGGTAAAATAACTCTGATTTTTTACTTTTTGTTTATAAACATTAGCATCAAAAACAGAGGCAAATGATTCGAGTAGCGATGAAAGCGAATTTAACGAGGAAAACGAAATAAAATACGTTGAGGAATCGTCGGAAAGTGAACCGGAGCTGGAATGTGATATATGGGATGTGGACTGTAAAATTGTGAACAATTCAAAAAGTGATTTAATCGGAAGTTAGTTTGTTTTTAAAATCAAAATTCACATTTTTAAACGTTGTTCGTGGTTTTTAGGGCACTTAATGCCAACGTGCAGCCGAAATCCAAATGAAAGCCCTAAAAAGAGACTAAAACTTTCTGTGGAGGCAAACAAAAAATTTACTCGAACCGAATTCATTAGTAAATTTAAAGACCACTGGGTGAAAAATACCGCAATAAAGACAGATGGTTTCGAATTAATCACGGAGCCTTTTAAAGTGTGCGTTTTTAGTAATTTTATTGAAAATGGGGATGTTTTAAATGATGTCAGGCAAGAGTTCTACGAGCTTGACTGGAACAATAGAAACATGGATTTGTATGAGTTTTTTCAGTCAAAGGATCTTAAATACTTAAACTCTGAGCACATTAAGAATGTGTATAATTTTTTGAAAAATGATGCCCTTAAATTGGTAAGAAAAGTTTTTTGCCTATAGGCCTCAACAAAGTTTAAGTCAAATAAAAATGCTGCCAAAAACTGATTGCAGTTTCTTGTTCAGGACCCTTTGGTGACTTAAAAATGATATTTACCAAAATCCTAGCTGCTCCTTTTTTTGAAATTTTTTGAAAATTCATGATTTTTTTTTAATTTTTGTTTATCTTAAAGTCTACCTTTGACAGATTACACATTTGTACACACCGATTTTTATAATATTGGAGTATATTGTTAAGGAGATTTTGAGAATACTTTTTTATACTGTGCACATCATTTAATATATACAGGGATAGCCAAAAATCGCTTCTTTTAATAAAGCAAAAGAGTAACTTTATGATTTTGGCATAATACGCAAAAAAGATATATGGGGCAAAATTTGCCAAGTGTACCAGGTGAAAAAAATTTTGTCAACGATTTTGTTTAAACTTTACTTATTTGTTGTTCTTATAACGAAGAATCATAGCATAAAATTTTTTTGCTCTAGGATTGTTCATTCAAGAGTTATGGATTATTGAAATTTATCGATTTTTTACTTTTTGGTGAAATCGCTTTTTATTTAAAAATTCATAACTTCTGTTCATCTCTTTATTAAATATTTCAATTTAATCACCTTAAATGATTTTTTCCGTACCTTTCAATGGGCTATACCGTTTTTGCAACAAAAAAAAATTGCAATTTTTTTTTTGAGACAATGTGTATTTTTTATTTTTTTTTAAAATAGCATAAAATCGAAGTTTATTATGTTACCTTTGAATAAAAAAAAATTTAGAGTGGGCCCGACATGTAGAAGGGAAGTTTTTCATATTTGAATGCGTGCGGGTCTAGCCATCGAATAGCTACTACACTGCCGTATGCGTTTATACCTAGTAGATGCGAGTAAACGAATACAAAATGATAATTTAAAATGTAAAATTATGTTTGAGTAGTCAATGATGTATTTTAAATATTTACACTGCCGCACGATATAGTTTTTTAATTGTATTTTTTTGCACAAATTGTTTAAGCATGGGTCTACATAGATTTCGCAAGGAGGATCGATGATATTAAATAAAAAAATTATTGTTATAACCGTAACGGTTTGCCTATAAGCTGAATGGCGCCTATTCAGCTTATAGGCAAGCCGTTACGGTTATAACAATAAATTTTTTATTTAATATCATCGACCCTCCTTGCGAAATCTATGTAGACCCATGCTTAAACAATTTGTGCAAAAAAATACAGTTTATATACAAAAGTGCTCTTTTAGTTCCACCTTTACTTCTTAAGAAGTCCCATAAGCCAACTGAATGGCTTGTACGGGTTAGGTGTAGGAACGGACCGCGGGCTTAAAGTCCCCTCCGAAGGACTAATACACAATAAAAAAAAACTATATCGTGCGGCAGTGTAAATATTTAAAATACTCAAACATAATTTTACATTTTAAATTATCATTTTGTATTCGTTTACTCGCATCTACTAGGTATAAACGCATACGGCAGTGTAGTAGCTATTCGATGGCTAGACCGTGCGGCATTCAAATATGAAAAACTTCCCTTCTACATGTCGGGCCCACTCTAAATTTTTTTTTTATTCAAAGGTAACATAATAAACTTCGATTTTATGCTATTTTAAAAAAAATTAAAAAATACACATTGTCCCAAAAAATGCAAAATTTTGCAAAATTTAAAAAAAAAATTACGAAAAGTACGGAAAAAATCATTTAAGGTGGTTAAATTGAAATATTTAATAAAGAGATAAACAGAAGTTATGATTTTTTAAATAAAAAGCGATTTCACTAAAAAGTAAAAAATCGATAAATTTCAATAATCCTAGAGCAAAAAAATGTTATGCTATGATTCTTCGTTATAAGAACAACAAATAAGTAAAGTTTAAACAAAATCGGTGACAAAATTTTTTTTAGATATTTTTAAGACTTTATAAGAAAAATTAATTTTGAATAAAATTAAATAAAATATGCTTTTTACTATAAAAAAAAGTAATTTTTGGCTAACCCTGTATAAATCTAATGATTTGCTCAGTATGAAAACAGTATTTTCCAAGTCTCGTTATCAATATACTCCAATATTATAAAAATCGGTGTACAAATGTGTACTCTGTCAAAGGTAAAATAAACAAAAATTAAAAAAATAAAATACGAATTTTCAAAAAATTTCGAAAAGAGGAGCAGCTAGGATTTTGGTAAATATCATTTTAAAGTTACCAAAGGGTCCCGAACAAGAAACTGCAATCAATAAAAATCGGTGTACAAACGTGTACTCTGGAAAAGGTAGACTTTGCGATAAACAAAAATTAAAAAAAAATGATTTTTTAACAAATTTAAAAAAAGCAGTTAGAATTTTGGTAAATATCGTTTTTAAATCTCCAAAGAGTGCCAATCAAAAAACTTCAACCAGTTTTTTGTTCAAAATTAAAAACTACTAAAAAGCCTAAATTAAACAACATTTTAAATATTCTCTAAGCGTTATTTTATATATTTTTATTAAAAATCAATATTTATAAAAGGTTAATAAGAATACCATTTTGTAACCTGATAAACGTAGAAATATCTTTAAAAAAATGGGGATAGGTTTTGAGCCGCATACACCAAGTCATGCTAGAGATTTTTAAAATCAGTAAATTTGTGCAAGTTAAATATTTTTATGGACATTTCGTGAGTTGTTAGTTGTAACTTAACATTAGTACCTTAAAGTTCGGCAAGAAAATATTCAGTTTAGTAATATTAGAAACTGTTGCTGTCAAAAGCTGGGGCTGCAGTAAATTGCAGCCCAGGTCTAGTAATGGATCAAAGTAGTGGAGTGCTTGACGGCGATCACGTAAATGGCTGTTTTAAGTGCAAATTACAATTCGAAGATGTAAAAGCGATAATTCAATGTACAGTTTGCAAATTATTTTATCATGGAAAATGTGAAAACGTCGATATGCGTGGGTTTCACATGAAAAAGTCGACCTGGAAATGTGTAAATTGTGAACCACACACAAGTGAGGCTAAAACTGCATCGGATGCTAACAAACCAGAGCGTACGAGAAAGCGGAGCCGTTTAGATGATTATCTCGATCAGGATCTTGCGAGTGAAATAAGTGCTAAGTTGCTATTTTTAGTAGAGACAACTAAGGAGCTAAGCCAAAAAATGGATTTTCTATTAGTCGAAAACCGAAACCTTAAAGAAGAATTAGCTAGCTTAAAGGAAAGTAAACAAACAACAGTAATACCGAAAGAAAATTCTACGTCTTCCTATGCGAAAATTGTCACAAAAAATGATAACAAAGTCTTGGTTGTTAAACAAAAGTGTCCAGAAAAAGATGTTGGGAAAGTCAAAGAAGATCTGAGAAATAAAGTTAATCCTACAGACATAGGCGCGGGTTTATCGTTAGGTAAACCGACAAAAAATGGGGGTATTATTCTTAAATGTGGCAATGAAAAAGATTTAAACAGCATACAGGCTCATATTCAAAATAAATTGGGTGACAGTTATAGTGTTGATGTCCCGAAAGTATTGGAACACCGGATAAAAGTGGTAGGCTTAAGTGAATCTGAAAATGCCCTTACAGATAATGAGATTGTGTCGAAAATCGAAAGTCAAAACAACTTACAAAACATATCTGACAAGAAAATTAATATTGTACGAAAAACTAAAGTTGTAAATGGCAAGTTCACTATGGTACTGGAAGTTGATGCCACTACGTATGGAATCTTTATTGAAAAGGAGAGAATGAATATTGGATGGAATCGGTGTAGGGTTTTTAATGATTATGGTATAAGAAGATGTTTTAGGTGTTGTCGTTATGGTCACATTGTTAAAGATTGCAAAGAAAATAAGGTATGTGCTAAATGTAGTGGCGATCATGATTTTAAAGAGTGTAATTTGAATATTGTTAAATGTGCAAATTGTGTAGAGTCTAATCAAAAGTATGGTCTCAATCTAGATGTTGTCCATGTTACTTGGGATGTTAGTAAATGTGAATCCTATAAGAGAATTGAGGAGTTTCAAAGGAGTAAGTACCTAAAATAGCAATTAGATTCAAATATAATTTTAAACTCCAGCATTATTTACTTTAACTGTCAGGGTTATCTAAACAACAAAGATAATATTGCTTTATTAATTAATAATTGGAGGCCTAAGATCGTGTTCTTGAGTGAGACTCACGTATCACCGGAAATTGAGTCATACGAACTAAATATTGATGGTTACAAGTTAGAACAATGTACTAGTAACAACAATAGAACTGGAGGAGTTATAGCTTTAATTAGGTGTGATGTTGGATATAAAATTAAAACTGTACAGTGCGTTGATAATTATGTGTGGTTATTGTCTATTGAATTATCTTCGTCTGGTCCAAAGTACTTGTGCTCTGTATTGTACCATCCACCTCAAAAATACGATGCCAAATTTATAGATTTCTTTGATGAATATCTGGATCAAGTCAGTGATTTTAATGGTATCAATGTTATCATGGGAGATTTTAACTTTGACCTACTGAAGCAGACTTATTATGGCAATAAAATAATCAATACTATATATAAAAATGGATTTACCCAAATTGTTAAAACACCAACTAGGGTAGTATCCAGAAGTCAGACATTAATTGATTATATAGTAACCAATGACAAACATCTTCCACATAAAGTTCATCTTACACCTAAAATTAGTGACCATTCCATCCTGTCAATTACTCTTAATCAACATAAAGAACAAACTCTCGATATTATAAGCTATAAAAGATCATTTAAAAACTATAATTGTGACAGGTTACAGCAAGAGTTAATTAACATTGACTGGAACAACAGTATCTCTGATGTAAATTTTCTAGCGAATTCTTTTATCACAGATGTCAAAAACATTATAGACAGCATGTGTCCTAGGGTAAAAATTGTCCAGAAACAAAAATATTTGAACAAAAAATGGATTACATTGGAGATTAGGGAAATGATGCAGGAAAGGGATTTATTATATACAAGGGCCATTATGGATAAAAATGAGAACACCTGGAATGAATATAAGTCCAAAAGAAATACCATTGTAAATAAAATCCGAGTGGAGAAGGAAAAATATTATGTTGAAACCATAGACCACAATAAGAATAACCCTAAAGAACTTTGGAAAAACCTAAAAACTCTATTACCTGGAAAAAAACAAACCATACCAGACGAAATCAGTTTTGATTCGGAAATAGTCAAAGAAGAGTCAAACATAGCCCATAAATTTAATAAATATTTCGTGGAAAGTATTGATGCTATTATTCAAGGTATACCACAAACAGCAAACGTTATACCCCATATAAACAGGATCCCTGAACATAGTAAATTATTTTGTAATTTTGAAAAAATATCTATGTTAAAAATGAAGCAAATAATTAAAAATCTGAAAAATGTAGGAGGCGATGAAAGTGGCATATCTAAGCAAGTCCTTTGTGATGTTTTTTATGCTGTTGGTGATCGTTTTTTGGACATCATTAATACATCACTTAGTTCTGGTGTTTTTCCTGAGTCATGGAAATTGTCAACAGTGATTCCAGTTCCCAAGGTGCAAAATACAAAAAGTCACAATGAGTTTCGACCAATTAACACAGTTCCCATTTATGAAAAAGTAATTGAATTATGTGTAAAAGAACAGCTACTTAACTATTGCGTCAATAATAAAATAATAGTTTCTAACCAATCAGGTTTCCGTGAAAACCACTCCTGTGAGTCTGTTGTTGTTAGTATCAGTGATGATTTTCTCAAAGCCATTGACTGTGATAATTTTGTTTTAGCTGTATTTTTAGATTTTAAAAGAGCCTTTGAAACAGTAGATAGGGAAATATTGATTGTTAAATTAGAGCAAATGGGCATTAAGCATAACGTTTTAAATTGGTTTAAGTCTTACTTGTGTAATAGAGTCCAACGTGTAATGTATAAAAGTTCTATGTCTGAATCTATATGTGTAAAATACGGTGTACCTCAAGGGACAGTTTTGGGCCCATTACTGTTTTTATTGTATATTAATGATATGGTAAAGGTGACACAAAAATGTAAAATTATTTTATTTGCAGATGATACAATGCTCTATATAATAGGTAAAAACTTGAATCAAATGCAAGCAAATGTCAACAATGATCTGAACAATTTATTTAACTGGCTCTGTGAAAATAAATTAAGTTTAAATGCTGGTAAATCTAAATTTTGTCTATTCGCCAAAAAATCAAGAATAAGTTCTGTAAACATGAATGCTGTGCAGATTACTGTAAATGGGGAAAATATTACTTATGATAAAGAAATTAAATATTTGGGCACAATTTTAGATTCCAACTTAAAATTTAATTCCCATGCAGACTATATTATGAGAAAATTCTCAAAAAAGGTTGGTTTTATAACAAGAATAGGTAAGAATCTGTCAATGCATATAAAAATGTTGCTTTACAACGCCATTGCACTTCCCCATTTGCAGTTCTGTTCAACATTGTTGTTTCATTTGCCACAATATAAAATAAGCCAGTTAGAAAAAATCCAAAATAGAGCTATGAGACTGATTTTAAAATGTAACCGTTATACACCTATTATATCCATGTTGAGTGTCCTAAATATGTTGTCTGTCAAACAAAGAATTATGTTTAATGTAAATTTATTTATATTTAAACTAAAACAAAATCTGTTACCTGATTATATCTGTGATAAGTTAAAAGTTTTTAGAGATGTACATAATTATAATACTAGAAATTGTACAGATTTTATTTTAGTAGATAGGTGTAATACAACACAAATGTTAAACTCCGTTTTATACAAAGGTTTACTTGAGTTTAATAAACTACCTGTGAATATTAAAAACTGTGATAATATAAATCAGTTCAAAAAACGTTTGAGAAGATTTGTTTTAAACTAAATGTTGCGTTTTTGTCATCTTTATATTATATTTATTATGATATATCTAATTCTGTATACACATGTTTTGTTAAAAATCTAATTGTAAACTTTTTAAACTTTTCTATTTTTTTTTCGTTGTATTTTTTATGTAAATATGTAAATTGTTATTTTTTATGTAGCACTGATGCTAAATAAATTCATTATTATTATTATTAAATCTTTTTTGCGTGTTATGCCAAAATCATGAATTTACGCTTTTGCTTTATTAAAAATATGCGATTTTTGGCTGACCCTGTATATATCAAATGATGTGAACAGTATTAAAAAAGTATTCTCCCCAATAATATACTCTAATTTTATAAATCCAAATGTGTACTCTGTCAAAGGTAGACTTTGAAATAAACAAAAATTTAAAAAAAAACAGGAATTTTCAAAAAATTTCGAAAAAAGGAGCAGCTAGGATTTTGGTAAATATCATTTTTAAGTCACCAAAGGGTCCCGAACAAGAAAGTGCAATCAGTTTTTGGCGGCATTTTTATGTTACTTAAACTTCGTTCAGGCGCACCGTGCCTAATTCTTTTTAATTTTAATGTTTTTAAATTAATAATATAAAAAAATATAACTTTTTGGGCTTTAAAACTCAATTTGAAAAAAAAAATTTATTTGAACTATAAAACTAGTTTTATTAATAAATTTCGTTAAAAGTTTTAACGGTTTTTAAGTCGACAAAATATATTTTTACTAGGTATAAAATTAAAAATATAATGGTAATAAAAACTCATGTTTGGGTTCCTTAACATTGTTTTTAACCTATAAAAATAATGTTATTACTAAATTAGACCTAATGGGGCTAAACCCAACAAAATCGTTTTGTGCTAGGTTTCAGACTTGACAGGTTTTGAGTTGACTCACATATCAGCTACATGCAGCTTATACAGCAACACGGATTATTTGCTGGTGCATGATGATCAAAGGGAAGACAGAATGGTTGCGTTTGTTTTGTATTTAACTGGCGAAAATGGCTGGAGTAAAGAGAAAGGAGGAGCTTTGCAGTTGCTGGACAAAGATGAAAATGGCCAACCAAGGAACACAGTTAAAGATATTTTCCCTGCCAACAACCAATTGGTTATATTTCCTGTTACCAGTGATTCATACCATCAGGTAATAAAGGTTTTTATTTTTAAGTAAAATGGAAATTTGCAGTTACCTTTTTAATAGTTTTTTTAACCACTTTTGCGTTACATGGAATGGAAAAATATGGTTTTGTAAGCAGTTAATTTGATTTGGTTATTGTCATTTGCCATCAAATTTTGATCTTCAATATGTTTTTTATTTTAAACTATTTGAGTGTTGTTTTCCTCAGTTTTCTGTATTTTTTTATCAGAGATTTCTTCAATTTTCGAGGATTTTTGTTCTTTTATACCATTTTCCCCTGATAGCACACTTTATTCTAAGAATGTTTTTTAAACCTTCCAGTGAGAATATTCTTAGGATCATGCTATATTTCTTCTAAAGAAGATGCTTAAAAGACATATAGCATGATCCTAATAATATTCTTACTGGCCTATAGGCAGGTTCTTAGAAGGTGCAAAGTTTTAGTGGTAAAAATTAGTCTACTCTAAACATATGCTTAGAATGTTAAGAAAGTTATTGCTATAGAAAGTTCATTTAGGAATATTCCTGTTAAGCATATTTAGTTCTGATACCTATATAATAGTAAAATATACCATAAAATACGTATAAAGTACCTACCTAATTAGTAATTAGTGTTAAATACTAAGTAAAACACAATCCAAAATATTTTTTATAGTTATTTGTCAAATTAAAACAATATTCGATAACAAAAATACTTTTACTATAGGGCCATTCCACGCTTAACGGATAGGACAGTTGCCGTGTTTTTATTTACAAAATAATATTGTTCTATTATATTACCAATGTCAAATTTTTATAAATATTTCAAAGTCCCGTCCGTTATGCTTTAAATTATTAGTTTTTAAGGAATTAAACAGTCAACCACGATACCTAATTTTGCCAAATAAAAACCTTGTTAAACAGCAACAGTTAAAGTATTTATAAAAATTTGACATTGGTAATATAATAGAACAATATTATTTTGTAAATAAAAACACGGCAACTGTCCTATCCGTTACGCGTGAAATGGCCCTATATAGGTATTTTATTTTATGTTAAAAATAAATATTTATTAATTTGTTTACCGATTTTTTTTTCTGAATTAACATTTTTATGTATAATAATCCTAACTATCTTCAACTTTAATCTAATCTGACTTATCCCACAAAATTTTCCAATTTTACTTTTTATGAAATAATTTCATAAAAATTATGGTTTAGAGGTCAAATTGTTTATTTAATATTTTTAAATAAATATATAAATATATATTAATATGTCGCAAAATTTAAGGGGACGACAAATACATTTCACTGTCATATTATGACAGTGAGGCGTATTTGTCTCCTGAAGAATTTTACGAATGTAGAATACAACGTATCAGAACGTGGGTATCTGACATATTTGGAAATATTCTCAAAAGCTTCCTAGAAGCTCCATAAGAAACCTTCTAAGAACATTCCAAAAACGTATTCTTAAAATGTTCTTAGGTGCTTTTTAGGAAGGTTTTTAATAAGCTTTTAAGAATCTAATTGCATCATTAAAAGGGTATCTATTGAATGTTTTAAAAGTCACTAAGAACATTCTTAGTAATAAGGGAAGGTTCTAAGAATATTCCATTATTCTGGGTCATATCTTCTTAGAAGATTCTTAAAATCAAGTTTTGCTATCAGGTTTCTTTTATTTTATCATCTAAGTCTTCTATTTTACTGGTACTAGCAATTGATTCCTTATCTCAAGCAAAAGTAAAAAACTTAAAATACACAATGAAAAGATTCTCTCTGTACTTATAACTTTCCATTTTATAGACCAATTCTATTTTTTGAAATTGGTAAAAGTTTCTAGAATCTGTAGAGTTAAACTTTTTAATAGTTTTTTTAGCCAATTTAGTGTGACATGTCTGCTTTTAATTTTAAACATGCTGGAATGTCTATTATTACCTTTGGTTTCTGATGGATTTACTTCACTTGCGACCGAATTTTGACCTTCTATTTGTTTTTCATTTTCAACTACACTGCCCGTCAAAATTAACGCATAACAAGTAAAAAAATCCAACTCTAAATCGCCTTTACCAATCTTTATAAAATTTTGAATAAAAATACTTTAACTTATATCTCAGTTTACGTGTTCAAAGATTTTTCGAGAAAATATCCTTAAAGCCCTTTTATTTAACAATAGAAAACGCTCAAAAAAACTTTTATAGGGAAATATTTAAGGAAGTAAATAAAAACTATGCTGTGAAAGACAGTATTTTTGTTAGTATACCCATAGGTATAACAGTAACGAAAATACAGCTCTTCAAAGTCGTCAAAAATGACCACTTTTCAGCAAAATAATCAAAAAGGGGTAATTTTTTCCGACTGAAGCGCTGTATCTTCGTTACTGTTCGTTTGATTTGTACAAAATTTTCAGGGTATACTAAAAAAATACGGTCTTTAACAGCATATTTTTAATTTACTTAAAAAAATTCCCTAAAAGTTATTTTTCGAACGACTTTTTATTACTAAATAAAAGAGCTTTAAAAATATTTCCTCGAAAAACCCTCGAACACGTAAACTTAGATATAAGTTGATGTATTTTTATACAAAATTTCATAAAGATTGTTAAAGGCGTTTTAGAGATAGAATTTTTTACTTATTATGCGTTAATTTTGACGTGTAGTGTATTTAAGTGTCGTTTTCCTCTGTTTTATCAATTTCCGAGGATTTTTGTTCTTTTTTACCATCTTCTTTGGTTTCTTTTATTTTTTCGTCTAAATCTTCTATTTTACTGGTACTAGAAATTGATTTCTTATCTTAAGCACTCGTGCAAACCTTAAAATGCTCTGGACTGAGTTCTGTGTACATAGAAAGTATAAAATTTGAGTACGACATAGCTCTGCGAAATTTGTAGTATCCGAAAATTTTAGGTCGCCGAAGTGACTTCCTTGAGCGACTGCCGCTTAAGCATAAACGGTTGGTTCCACACAAAAATCCCTCCAGTTTTCGAAACTCCAGTTTATGACGCGTCGATCAGCGCCATTTTCGGCGATAAATACCTAAAATCCAGAGAAGTCGATATCGACTTGCAAACGTGGATATGCGAGGATTATCTGGAAACGAAGTCAGTCAAATTGATTCAGCAGCATATCGAGGAAAACTCGGAGATATCACTTAAACATTTTTTGAAGCAGGAGCCTTTCAATGAAGTATTAAAGATACTGAAGTCTTCAGGTATGTAAAAAATGTTATTCGGATACTTCGGAATTCGGTTTTTCAGTTTATAGAGAAATATGTTCAAAATATTGGTGAATGGTTGTATGAATGTGAATTTTGTATGAAAAATCATTTGTGTGGTATGTCGTATGTAATAATGCATGTATAATATATTTAAAACATAACAAAACTATACAAACTATGTTTTTAGATGTAACTTGGACAAAGGTGGGGCCGCCGAATAGATGCAACTACGAAATAATAAATTTAGAAAATTTACCCCACATTCTTGAAAGATGTTTAAGTCTTTTTCAGTCAACTGAAATATTTAATTTGCTGCATAAATACACCGATTTAGAGTTAAATAAACCGAATGCCTCCGTAAAATTTGAGTTGCAAAAATGGACGCCTGGCAGTTATACCGTAAGTTAATTTAATAATAAAGGAGTAAATGTCTTGTAAAATGAGTTTATGTGAAACGAATTTTAGGGCTTTAAAATTTTTTTAATTAATATAGTCCTAGATTTTGAGTGTTGTTTTCCTTAGTTTTCTTTATTTATTTTATCAGGGATTTCTTCAATTTTTAAGGATGTTTGTTCTTTTATACCATCTTCCTTAGTTTCTTTTTTTTAACTAAATATTATTTTAATGGTACTAGCAATGGATTTCTTATCTCAAGCACACGTAAAAAACTTAAAATGCACAATGTAAAGATTATTTCTGTACTTTTCATTTTATGTAGACTAATTATGTTTTTTGAAATTGGTAAAAGTTTCTAGAATCTCTATAGTTAAACTTTTTAATAGTTTTTTTTAACTAAGGTAGTGTGACATGCCCGCTTTTGATTTTAAACATGCTGGAATGTCTATTGTTTCTTTAGGTTTTTCAACGATTTTCTTCATTTGTACCAAATTTTGACTTTCAATTTGTTTTTCATTTTCAACTATTTGAGTGTCGTTTTCCTTAGTTTTCTTTATTTTTTTATCAGGGATTTCTTTAATTTCCGAGGATTTTTGTTCTTTTATAATAATAATAATTTATTCCTTAGTTTCTTTTATTTTTTTATCTTCTATTTTAATGGTACTAGGATGGATAAATTCCTTATCTCAAGCACAAGTAACACGAACAAAACACAAGTAAAAATGCACAATTTAAAGATTCTTTCTGTACTTAACTTTTCATTTTCAATTATATTTTTTGAAACTGTTAAAAGTTTCTAGAATCTCTAGAATTAAACTTTTTAATAGTTTTTTTAACCAATTTAGTAACCAGTTTTTATTTAAAAAATACTGGAATGTCTATTGTTTGTTTTGGTTTCTGAAGGATTTTCTTCATTTGCGACCAAATTTTGACCTTGTATTTGCTTTTTAATTTTCAACTATTTCAATGTTGTTTTCCTCAGTTTTATCTATTTTTTTATCATGAATTTCTTCAATTTCTGAGGGTTGTTCTTTTATTCCATCTTCCTTGGTTTCTTTTATTTTTTATCTAAATCTTCTATTTTAAAGGTACTAGCAATGGATTCCTTATCTCAAGCACAATAAACTTAAAATGCACTGTGCAAAGATTCTTCTATTTTTTTATCATGGATTTCTTCAATTTCTGAGGGTTGTTCTTTTATTCCATCTTCCTTGGTTTCTTTTATTTTTTATCTAAATCTTCTATTTTAATGGAACTAGCAATGAATTCCTTTTTTTACCAATTTAGTGCGACATGTCTGCTTTTGATTTTAAACATGCTTGAATGTCTATTGTTTCTTTTTGTTTCTGAAGGATTTTCTTTATTTGCGACAAAATTTTGACCTAGGTATATATTTTTTATTTCCGTGAGTGTCGTTTTCCTCAGTTTTATCTATTTTTATATTTAATTTTCGATAATTTTTGTTCTTTTATACCATCTTCCTTGGTTTCTTTTATTTTTTCATCTAAATCTTCTATTTTAATGGTACTAGCAATGGATTCCTTATCTTAAGCACAAGTAAAAATGTCGTTTATCTCAGTTTTATCAATATCAAACTTTAATTACAACATGTTTGGATAATTTACTATAAAAAATAATTATATTTTGCAACGTTTTAGTTGTTGACTGATTACAACTGGCAAAGCAAAAACGAGCTGGATTTGATCATGTACTTTGGTTGTAAGAGTCCTGCGAATGTAATTGGTGCCAGGACTCAGTATGTAACCATAGAAGACGAAATACAGAACGCTTTAATTACATTGGAACCTGAGGAGAATAATTTGAATATAGTTTATAGAGATTCGGCTAGGTTCACCAAATATTTTAGCAAACAAAGTAAGTGTCAAACGTTTTACAAGCTTATATGTTCTTATTGCGAATAAACTATAGTGAAAGTAGAAAGGGTGTTTCATTGAGAACTTTTTTGAACGGTAATTACTTTATTACTTAATTATCAAAAACGTATTATTATTATTACAATAGTTGAAGTAGATAGTTGGGTATTTACATTCTTTACATATTAAAGCAGTAGTTGGACTATAATATCTTTACAATTGTTTGATGTAGAGGAGAGTAAAAATAAAATTTATATTTATTCGGAAAAAACGAGTATTTCAGTACTCCAATAACAATAATTTACGCTTTATATGTATAAATATATTATAATATATAGATTTAACAATATAGTGTACAATTAGTAACAGCCATTAAAGCCACATTTCATTGTGTTTTTTCTACATCTATATAGAAAATAGACCCGTATAAAAACACAAACAATTTTCACATTTAAAATATAAAAATCTTTATCACTTTCTTCTAAACTTAAACAACGAATTGATTTCAAGTTCTTTAGTATGTTTTGACACCAAACAACATCTAAAAAATTTAAAAACAAAACCTCATCGACATACTATATAACTTTGTATCAGTCTTAATAATTCCCCTGACCATCACAGCCTCACGAAGTTCACCTGCCTTTTAAAATGCAGTGGCTCAAATAGCTAGTAAATTAAAAAAATCCAAATTTGTGCCTAATTGTTTTTTTATATAACACGTTAAAAAATAGACTAGAACTTTTCCCAATTTCAAACATATCCTGATCACCGCACAAATTTGGAATGGGGTTTCCGCAAACTCAGTGCCATTCCGATTTGTACTTCCCGTTCAACTCGGAACTGTAACTCGGTTGGAAGTTCACACTGATCGTCACCGGGTGCAGAACGACGCTGTGCACCGGCTGAAGCACTTCCAGAATGTTGAAGTTCTGCAGGAAGGGCATCAACGTTTTGTAGTCGATGGTCAGCGGCACGTAGTACGACCCTTTGGCGTGCAGCGCGAAAATGGGCACGTTAAAGTTCGTCAGAGGCGGCGACTTGATCATGGGCGAGTATCCGTGGATGACTTCGGCGCGCGCTTGTTGCTCGATGTGGTTGGTGGAGGCTGTGCTGTCGCTCGGCGACCGCCTGTGGCTCGCCTCCGTGCACAGCTCCGAGCTGGGCGGGGAACTGTGACTGGAGCTTTGATTTTCCAAGCTGGTGACGGAATTCCTCCTGCCGTTCTCCAACTTGGGTCTCTTGTTCGGCACCTCCTGTCCCCCGTTGACGTCCTGATTGAACCTCAACTTAATGTTCGTCTTGTACTTGTACAAAGCCCCGCTCTCGTTGTGCTTATCGTAGTCGGACTCCGACGGCGTCGTTGAGTACCCGTTCCCGTTGTTGTTGTTCTGCTCGGGCTCCTGCTTGGGCAGCTGGTACTCCGCCGCTGCCTGCTTGGCGGACTCCTGCGGATGCACGGGCATCTGGTCGGGACTCAAACTGGGCATCTGCTGCGGGGGCATGTTGGGGCCTCTGGAGACGGTGTCAGTGCAGTGCTTCTGCAGGTGGGAGAGCAGGCGGGCGCAGATTGCCTCGCGCGGAGAGTGACCCTCCACTTCCACCATGAAACGCATCGTTTCCGACATGCATTCCTGGTATCCCAACCTTAAAAGTGATAAGAGGGGACGTTAGAAACCGTTTCATTTATTTATTTTATCTTTAAAACTACCCTTGTGGAATTTTTTCTCTGAGAAAATCTTAGTTTCTCTTAAAAAGTCTGAATAATACATAGAGGTTGTATTTGGTTATCGTAAAATAAAACACATAGAAAAGTAGTGCTCTAATTGGTCAGCTAGCTGAGCTGGTCTCTCGATATTACGTCTAGAAGATTTGTTTGTAACAATGTTTAGATAGGTAAATATTTGCGTGTATCAAAAGAAACTATTAAAATAAAACGTACAGTGGCAACTCCTTTTTCTATGGTGGAAACAATGAAAGCATGTCAAGCGCATCGTATGTATAAAATTATAATTATTATAATTATTACATCTTACCTATGTTATTATATAGGTAATTATGCAATAAACTTGGCTTATAACAACAGCAAAAATGTTAATAAATACTTTTTTATGTGTTTATTTTACGATAACCAAATACAACCTCTATGAATTATTTCGGATATTTATTTTTATCGCCATAGGTACCTACCATTTCTCTACTAAAAGTCTTATTAAGTCTTAAAAAGTCTTATTAACTCTTCCAGAAGACTCCCAAATCTTGCTATTAGTCTGACTTAATAAGACTTATTCAGACTTTTTCCGACTTAATAAGTCTTATTCTGACTTAATAAGTATTATTCAGACTTTTTAAGAGAAAGTAAGACTTTCTCAGAGAAAAATTTCCACAAGGGTAGGCAAACAGCAGATTTATGCGGAATAAACAAAAAAGAGTATTTATTTTGGTAGTTTTTTGTAATATAAAGTACATAATAATATACACTGCGCGGAAAAATTAACGCATAATAAGTAAAAAAAATTCTAACTCTAAAACGCTTTTACCAATCTTTATAAAATTTTGGATAAAAATACTTTTAACTTATATCTCAGTTTACGTGTTTAAGGGTTTTTCGAAAAAAAATCCTTAAAGCCCTTTTATTTAATAATAAAAAAACGCTCAAAAAAAACTTTTATAGGGAATTTTTTTAAGTAAATAAAAAATATGCTGTGAAATACCGTATTTTTGTAAGTATACCCTGAAAATGTTGTACAAATCAAACGAACAGTAACGAAAATACAGCGCTTCAAAGTCGTCAAAAATGACCACTTTTCAGCAAAATAATCAAAAAGGGGTCATTTTTACCGACTTTGAAGCGCTGTATCTATGTTACTGTTCGTTTGATTTGTACAAAATTTTCAGGGTATACTAACAAAAATACGGTCTTTAACACCATATTTCTGATTTACTTAAAAAAAATCCCTTAAAGGTATTTTTCGAACATTTTTTTTATTATTAAATAAAAGGGCTTTAAAAATATTTTCTCGAAAAACCCTCTAACACGTAAACTGAGATATAAGTTGAAGTATTTGCCTGGTAAATGCGTTTTAGAGTTAAATTTTTTTTATTTATTATGCGTTAATTAATTAAAATTTTGACGCGCAATGTAACTTATACGCAGTAAATGGTTTTATAACAAGTAAAAAAAAAAAAAAAGAAAAAGATATTAATATATATAATAATTATTAATTAATATAATAATATTATTAATATATTAATTAGTTTGTTGGATCTTATTGGAATAGGCGTTTTATAAAAGTGTAGAAATGAGTTGCAGTGAAAATAGTGATTCGGCTTATACAAAAAATAATGGGAAGAAATTGAAGAATTTAAAGGTGGTTTCAAAAAAAGTACAAAAGGACCAACGCCAACAAATAAATTAATATTAATAGTGGTAAAAAGGCTCTTTTTAAACATACAAGCTTAAAAGTACACCAAAACAAAATAAATAATATAATTACTAGTCAACCATCCGTTGATGTTTCTTTAAAAAGAAAAAAAAATAGAGGACAGCATTAAAGTAAAGAGAAGGTAACTTATACATGCATTTTTAGATAAATTGATATTTTAACCATTTTCTTTTTTATTTACAGCTGAAAATCTTGGCTAAAGTAAATGCATATTTTTTAAGAAATAAGAAAAAATTGAACCTACACCTCGCCAAAGATTTTTGTTTTGAATGCGTTCCATATTTTTTAGTTCTAAAGTTTTAATTATTTTTAATAATTTTTAAACTTAATTTTTTAGATTTTTTTAATGAAGAGTTTTTTCTTTGCTTTCTTTATTATGTATATTATTTATTTTCTATTTAAATAAAGATTTTTATTTTGTTTGTATTTATATTTATCAACAATCAATTATAATTTCCCAAAATACATTAATTTTATCACAAACTTTAAATCTACCAAATTTTAACAAGGTTATCTACCGACAAAAAAAATTGAGGATGGCAACACTGATTTGAAGAGTTTCCATAGAATATCTTTAAAATTTAATATATGATTTTGTGAGGCATCACTCAAATTTAAAAGTGATAAGAGGGGACGTTAGAACAGAGAAACTGAAACAGTTTCATTCATTTATTATATCGTTACAACAATGCAAACCTCAAATATATGTGGTTTAAACAAAAAAGAGCATGCATCTATTTTGGTAGTTTTTCCCATGGAACATTTTTGTTGCTGTTTGGTTACAAATGGATTTTGGAACTTGTAAAACGAAAATAAATATTATGATGGCGATAATTAAACAATTCGCGTCACTTGCTACTTCTCAGTGACGCATGTCCCTTCTAAAAATAAATTATATTATCGCATCGCGCGATGTGTTTATGACTACAAGTATTTTACACCAATTTTTATATCTACTGAAAAAGTAGCAATGATTAGGAACCGCAATATGTAGTTTTGTAGATTTTTGGTGTAGGTATTGTATTATTTTTTAATAAACTTAAGTGATTCGACTATTATAGATGATCCTCTAAATTACAGACCGATAAGTCTTCAAAATCAGTTTAGTAAAATAATCGATACTTTATATTACAATCGTTTACAGCATTTCTTAGAATCTAACAAACTACTTTTTGAATTTCAAAATGGCTTTAGGAGAAATAAGTCCACTAACACAACAATTGAAAGTGCCTTAAATTTTATTTTTAAAAGTTTGAATGAAAAACAGCATGTTGTTGGACTGTTCTATGACCTTAGTCGAGCATTTGATACTATTAATCACAGATTATTATTAAATAAACTTGAAAGTATAGGTGTTAGAGGTGTTGCAAATAAATGGGTAGAATCTTACTTATTAGATAGAAATCAATTAGTATATTGTAATGGTGAAAAATCGGATATATCCAAGGTAACACTAGGAGTACCTCAAGGATCGATATTGGGGCCACTTTTATTTTTAATATTTGTAAATGATTTAAATTTAAATACCAATATAAATGAGCAACTTATTCTCTATGCAGATGATACAAATCTTATAATTCAAAATAATAATATTTCAAACCTTTGCTGTGAAGCCTCTTTAAAATGTAATTTATTTAATTCATGGTGTAAAGAAAATGGACTAACCATTAACAAAAACAAAACATTTTATATGCGATTTTTACCAAAAAATGTTTCTCCAGATTACGATTTATTCATTTCAATTTTAGGTAAATCGATTGAATCTGTGGAAAGCATAAAGTTTTTGGGTATTTACTTAGATCGAAAGTTTACATGGGAAACACAAATAAATAACTTAAATAAAAAAATAAGTTCAGCTTGTTATTTAATAAGGTCACTAAGAGAATCGGTAAGCTTCTCTGTACTGAGACTTTTGTACTTTGGGGTAGTTCAAGCACATCTTGCTTATGGTATTATATTTTGGGGTAGCTCAAGTCATTTTAGCAAAGTTTTTATAACGCAAAAAAAGATCCTTAGGTGCATGGATAACAAAAGTCCAACATTTTCCTGTAAATCACTGTTTAGGAAATACAGAATCTTAACTCTTCCCTGTTTGTACATATTATAATATGTACAAACAGGGAAGAGTTAAGATTCTGTATTTCCTAAACAGTGATTTACAGGAAAATGTTGGACTTTTGTTATCCATGCACCTAAGGATCTTTTTTATTTATTTATTTATTTATAAATTTGATTTTATACATTTTTGAAAATAAAAAAGATATTTTAACACATAGTAATATGCACAGTTATTCGACAAGAAGTCAAAATAATCTAGTTTTGCCATTTTCTAGGCTCTCTGTATGTCAAACGTCTTTTATTTATATGGGAATTAAATGTTATAACAAAGTTATGTCTATTGTGTAAATGTTCCAAAATTTTAAAATGCAAGTTGCAGACTTTGTTTTTAGATAAAATATATTATTCTGTGGAAGAGTTTTTAAGTGATGGCTTTTAATTTAATAGTACCTAATTTAATAATTTATAGTGCCTAAACGTAATTTATATTTTGTTTTTATATGTTATTTTTGTTGACTAGTCCAATATGTTTTATAGAAAATGCTGTAAAACTGTGTGATCAATAAATATTATTATTATTATTATTATTATTATTATCTATTTATTACCTGTAATGTTCTGTAGGAGCGACATGTTCCTGTTGAAGGTACTTCATGTGTTTGATGGCCATTTCAATAATTTCAGTTTTTTCTATCCGTCCCCGGCCTTTTTTCAGGTATTCGGTTGGTATAAGTCTGGATAAATCGGCCAGGCAATTGTTCATTCTGTCTCTTCTTCTTTTTTCGATAATACGATGGGACATTGGATCTTGCTAACAACAAAATTAGGTATACTAAGGTGCATCGGACTAAAATCAGACATATTATAACTAGATATCGAAAAAAGACCTGCTAAAAGTTTGTAGTTTATTTTTATTGGAAAATAAACATTAATAACTATAATTAGGATTTTTTTAAAAGTATATTTTTCGACTTAAAGTTAAAAAATATGCGTGCGTTTTAACGAAATATTACAAGTGTCAGATATGCCGTGAAAAACGTAGTTTATTTCATACTTAACATGAAATAAAATTATAATTTGACATTGGTGAACAGTAGTACACAGGTACTAAATTAGTACTACTAATATTCTAATACGCTGTTAATTATTTTATAACAAGTAAAAAAGTTTAAACTGTCAACGAAATAGGTCATGTTCGTATTTTTAGAAAGACGCATACGTTTTAATCAATTTTCAAGCGATTTCCTATTTTGTGTCTCTAGTTCGGAAACGAATTTTTAAAATAATCTATGGGAAATAACACTCCTGCACAGGTGTTATTTCCCATAGATTTTTTCAAAAGTTTGTTTCTAAACTCTAGCAACATTGCGTAGAAATTGATTATTACAGTACATTTTTATAGAAATCTCAAAAAACAGTTTATAAAATTGTCTTGTAAAGTTTCGTGCTGCCAACTTAAGAAACACAAAAATATGACAGTTTTAAAGCTTTTTAACAACTGTAAAAAAAAATTATTTATATTATTACTTATTTAGTTTTAATGTTGTTTTTAGTTTTTGTTGATAATTTAATTTGTAATAAAGTATTAATTTGTTAATTAAAATACAACGTTTTATTTTTACTACATTGGCACCCCTTAATTTATTGCTGTCATGGCCTACTGTCAAACTTTTCAAATGGAGATACTACCACAGTATATGGTTCACATACTGTGATACTACCTTAAAAGACAAAGCAATATAATGGGGAATAAGGTTTGCAACACAGAGGATTGCAATGTCTACTCTCTCTCTCTCTCTCATACTCCTCGTTCTTGTAATATTTCATGGAACACACCCAAATCATTAAAAAAAAACTTACTCTGGTTACTTTGTTTTTTTTAAAAGATCCATATTCGCAGTCATCTTCACTGCATGTAGCAGTTTGAAAATTTAGATTCCTAAAAATAAAAAAAACTATATAGGTACCTACCTAATTAAAATATATTTTTTTAATTTTTATAACCAAAATAAATAATCAAACTTCCATGAAAATTGTTTTAAATGTACTCTAATAATATTAAATTAAACATATGACGTCATACATTTTTATTTATAAAAATTGAATTCTATAAATTTATTCATAGCGCATTTATTTTATATTTGTAAAGTCTGTGGGTGTCGTTTAATCGACGACTGAGTCAGTCGATAAAATCACGTATTTTTACACTGCGCGTCCTTCTAAATTTTTATAAATCGTGTGTAGAAAAAAATGTGTTGAATAGATAAAAAGGATAAAACTTACCCGTCGCAACAGTATAAACTTCTATCGTCTTTTATTCTATTTGGCTCTTCATTGATACTACTAAAACAGAAAAAAATAAAATTAATTTTCTCGAAAGTACATTTTTTGGCATATTCCTATTTCCGACGATTTTTTTGTCTTTTTTTTATTATAATTGCATGATAAATTCGGGAGACTCTGTATGGTACTAAAATATATTTTAGTAGTCACATAACTACTACATAAATTTCTGTATTTTTAGAACCAGTGATATAACATTTACGTTTTTTAATATTAAATTTGTTTGGCAAACTCGTTTATGGGTGCGTTAAATTATTGGTTTTCTGGCTTATAAAATACGCGAGAAAGTAACAAACGTTTTGGTAAATAATATAAATTATGCACACGTTTTGTGTCTAAATTTAATTAACTTCATTTTTAAAATCACTGTATGCAGTAAGTATTTACGTTAAAAGTTATGAGGTAGTTGTAATAATAATTATAAATACCTATGCTCAATGAGAAATGATATCGAACAAACCATACCTTTATGAGGCGTCACGTGAAACTTACACGTGTACCTATTTTCGCACGTTTTGATTATATCATTATTTTATTTATGGCTTATTATAATCTACACAATTTATCTTTGTGGGGTTTTATTTAAAGCATAATAGATATTTACTAATTTAAATTAACGTAGGTAACAACTCATTAATTTGTTATGATATTCGCCAAAGTTACAAAATAAATGTAGGTAAGTATACAATTTTAAAATTTCGAAAATAAATACATACAAAAGTCCTATATATTTATAATAAGACCTCTAGTAATATTTATATTTTGTAAATATTATGATACAAAATATAGTAACCAAATTAATGCTATAGGAATCTATTTCACCAACTTTCAAAGTTGCAGTGTTTGGAATTAAGCAGTTTTTCACAGTGAAATTGAAAAGCCCGAAACTTAAGCATTACAATAATTGTAATGCTTTATTAGCAAAACTAGGTTACTGCCTGCAAAATCAATAGGTCAGTAAAACGTGCATTTATACTTGTCAAAAATTGACGTCAAGAAACTATTTATTAATAATTTTGTATTTTTGTATTGAGATACCTACTCAATATACGCTAAAGAAGTATCGCTAGTAGCGCCACTACTCGGCTGAATGAAGAAATAAATTGCATACAGTCTCTGTAAATATAAATTGTAGTACAATTATTGTACCTATTAGATACAATAAATATACATTTTAGTAGTGATTAACGTGAAAAGTGTAAACATTTCAATTCAGTAAAAATCGTCAAACAAATAAGTCGTCTAAATTTAAACAGCATTTAGCATTATTAAAAACGTTGATTAAGAAAGTCTCCACTCAACGGTAAAATACCGTTATATTATGTATTATTTATAATATTATGTTGCCATGAATTCGTAGGTATATTTTGTTGTTTAAAATGCAGTTGTCGGCGTTTTTTAACTCAAATATGGTTGATTTTAAGGTTAGGGTTGTGCAAAAATTATTTTTTACTAATTTCTTAAAAATGCCCAAACTTAAATATAAATTGTATTAGGTAAAGTTATCATTAGTTAATTCTGCACCAACAAATGTACTTACCGAATTGGATCCTTTGGCAAAACATGAAAATGCAACGATTTAGTTCTTGAATTTTATTTACAATTAAAAACACAATAATTTACCATGATCCCTTTGATAAAATACACAAACTAACGTAACTATATAATCATTTAAGCGTTGAGTTTCTTAATCAATGATATAAGGAATAATCAATCAAAATCGAGTTTTTAAATTTTTTCCTTGCAACGTAAAACACAAATAACGTGCGCGATTTAGCTGGGCAATTGAACAAAATTTGTCGAGTAAGACTTCTGCCTTCCTCTCTTTTGTAAAAAAAACTAACTATTTATTTATTTAAAAATGATGTATAGTTCGTATGCTTTAAATGTATTGTTGACAATTCTTAAATTCACGCAATGCTATCGAAGTCCGCCAGATGGCGCGCGCGTTGCGAAAACCCGATACTTCTTTAGCGTAAAGTGTTTACCTCGCGTGGAATCGCAATTATTCCATCAATGAATTCCTTCGCTCGTCTATCGGCTCGCTCGAAAACTTTCATCATCGGAAGTATGTAATTGCTATGATTCCACGCTCGGTAAACAATATACTATGTTCGTTTCTAAGTTAGAAATTCTAACTAATTATAAGTTAAAAAAAAAACAAATATTTTTCCAAACAACAATAGATTAAATTGTATTTTTAACTTTTAAACAATGTTTTTTTACAATTCTTCAAATAAACATTCGTAATGCTAGGTATTTTCAAATGAATTAACCTATTCAAGTGAAATTTTGACAGAGACAACATTGACCTAAAACAGTAATATTCTTATAATACATACCTACAAACTTTCGATTTTTATTTGGTGAGTTGTCGTATGGCAGGGCAAGAGCGCTGGCAATTTTCATTAGGAGGAAATTGTGTTGAATTCATTCGGTCTGATTTTAAAAAGATTTGTCCTGATTACCCGTTTCGATTTAATAATTCGAGGCAAGTTCGCCGCAAGGTCGCGCCCACCCGTCTCATATGCGTACGCGTTGGATTTGTTGCATCAATAACAGCCCGACAAAATAAAATGTTCTGTTTGCTCAGCAAACTTTGCTGAATCAAAAAATGACCATAATTTTAACTATAAGTAAATCCAATCAATTTAAAAAAAAATGTTTGAATAATTTAAAGCTTCATTTATTTTGGGTTGCGTGGGTTGTGGAGATATCGATTTTAATTCCCAGCACAGTGTTTTTCTACTTCTACGCGACAACAAAAACAAATCGCCGAATTGTCACGTGTGACACGTTGTTTACTTGATTAATTTGCCTCTACTACGTAAAGTGATTCCAGGAAAGCGTTCAAATAACGTGTTCGTTTGTTTTGCACTTTTATAATTATAATTATTATTTAGTTGGCTAGATCAATTCTGAACATCGTTTTATTATTCAAAACACAATATTTTTAATATGACCAAGGTCAAGGGTGAAATTTGTCTCCCATTTTTTAAATCTTTTTCCTATTTCTTAAAAGTCATAGAACACATATCTTTTATTAAAATAAAAAAAATCTTATTTGAAAAGATTAAAACATTCAAGTACTTAAGTAGGTACTAAAATAAATAATTTGTTTGCTTAGACATAGAAATGTTGTTGACTATTGCTATTTTTAGTTAAGATGCTTATTTCCATTAAAACAATAACAACATATTCTAATAATTATATTATAATGAATGATTTAAGAAGGTTCGGGCACGATATTAGTCTCTATGAGAAAATGTTAAAAAAAAAATTCCAGGTTGTAGAGTAGAGTCTACTTAAAAGACATTTACGAAGTTTTAGAAAGATTGACTGTCTGGTTTCCAAATGAAAAATATTTTATGATTGTTGTTCCAACGTGACATTGAAACTATGCCTGTACAAGTGCCATATAAATTTTTGTTAACTTTTACCGCACAGTTTTGCAATAATAAATAATGTTGACTAGTGTGGTCGTTAAAAATGAAATTTTTTGCGATGCCCCCTAAAAAGCTTCGTTTTGATAAAAAACACTAGAAAATTTTTTTTTAAATTAAAAACAACACGTGCCTCAAGACGATCTAAGTTAATTATAAGTATAATCATGTCTTTTCTGAAAATATGGAATAATAATTTTTTTGAAACTTAAAAATTATTAACAATGAAATAACTTCACCGTGGAGTGAAGAAATCTAGATATTAAAATTACGTTAGTACTAATTTAATTTTAAAATAAAAATATCAATTTGAATATCTTTTATTTTTTTTATTTAATAGACTGAGATAAATTTTGAATTTAAATTTTTGTCTTTTGTTATTTCGATTAACTATTGTTTTTTTATTGATAATTGTTTATATTTGGAATAAAATTTTATTTTTCATAAAAAAATCCCAAAAAAACATGATTATACCAAAAAATTAACTTAGATCGTCTTGAGGCATGTGTTGATTTTAATTAAAAAAAAAATTCCAAGTGTTTTTTATCAAAACGAAGCTTTTTAGGCGGTGTCGCAAAAAATTTAATTTTTATCGACCACCCAAATGTTGACTGTGTCCAACCAAAATTATCAATCTGTCATTTTCGTCTTCCCAGACCGCAAAATCCCAATCCCTGCACATGTCAGGAATATTCCCAGGATTATTCTAAGCGTACCAGAATATTCCCAGGATTATTCTAAGCGTAGAATATTCCCAGGAATATTCCTGGCGTAATCAAATGTCCGGTTAACCCAGTCATCATAAAAAGAATATTCGGCATGCATAAGATTTAGGTATTGTTAGGAGAATGTACTATAATTTAATAATATAATTTGGGGATTACTCCTAGCCCTTATGGCCACTTATACCCAGGAACTTAACTTAACTAGCCATTATTAGTCCCACTCTAATCATTGTTTAGCTGTGCCATCACAGACGCATATTTCCAACTGATATTATTAACCTTTCGGTATATATAGTTATCAAGCGTGCGTAAGCAACGGTGAGAGGTATTGCAACTAAACTAATGAATATTCACTGGCAATGTTCTTAGATGGTGTTTGGAAGTTTTAGAGGATCATTCTATGGAATATTCCCAATTAATATTTCTAAAATGAAGCGGATTATTCCTAGATGATAGCGCATATTCCTGGAATATAACCAATTTGTAGAAAGTGTTTTTTGAATATAAAGAACATTCACTGGAAATGTTCCAAGATGTTGCTTGGAAGTTGTAGAGGATCATTCTATGAAATATTCCCAATGAATATTCACAGGGAATGTTTTTAGATGGTGCTTGGAAGTTTTAGAGGATCATTCTATGGCATATTCCCAATTAATATTTCTAGAATGAAGCGGATTATTCCTAGATGATTTAGTGAACCTTGGACACAGAACTTTTATTATAATAATAATTTGTTTTTAACTCATTTCTAGGTTTTAAATAACACTGCTTAAAGAAATGTCAAATTAACTGTCAAAAGCGAAACGCGTTACCATAGAAACCAAATGTCAAAATTCTATTTTTTACGTTTTTTAATTTACGTTCCTGTCGGTTCCTGTTTTACAATATTTATGTAAATAATCCCTTTTGTATTAAAATAAAAATTAATAATTATTATAAAATCGCTATTTATGCGTATAAATTATAAAAGTAACTGCCCGAACCTTTAATTAGAGTTGATCTAGACAGGGCCGTCCCCAACTGTTTTGCCGCTGGTGTTTCAAATAAAATTTGCCGCTCTACACAAATGGATTTCAATTTCAAACATTCACAACAAGTTTTTAAAAAAAAATTTACGCAAATTTTGTTTTTTATTCATTTTTTTTTTAGAATTATTTACCATAGATCTTTTATCCTTTCTTTTTCGAATTTAATAATGATTAATATAATCCAGATTTAATTAATATTATTATGTTTTTTCAATTATAATTTCTTGTTTTATTTTATTTTTAATAATATTTCAAAATATATCTTCGCCTGATATTTTAATACCAGCGGGTCCCAAATAAATAAAATAAAGAAGAAAGGCGGAAACTTAACACCCATACTTTTTAACGTCATAAGTTATTACTTTAAGAATAATAATGATATTTGTATAAAAATATAATTATTATTCTTAACGCACACTTAAATTTGTCCTCACACGTTAAGCGCCAATAAATTTCACACAGAATACCAAAAAGAACACAACACAACAAAGTAATTATGGTTTTTCCGTTAAATATTACACGCATAAAATATTAATGGTTCATTTATTGCTTATTCTTAAAGAAGTAAGAGTCGCGAGTAAAGTTCAAGAGTTTCACAATATTTACTATCCGCGAATTGAACACACTTCTTGGAGTTTGTCAATAAATATGGTAGATATAGATAAATGTGACATTAATAACTCAAGTCATCGCTGGTTTTATTATTTATAGGATTTTAAACATTGTAGATGTACATAAAACTGTTGTTTTATTATAAAGAATATTAAAGATGCCAAATAAAAAATTCTAGGTAATGGCCTAGAGATACTGTAATGGTGTAATTAAATAAGAGCAAAAACACAGCAGCCAATACCGAGAGCTATCACCTATAGGTTAAACGTTGGGTAGGAGACTATAGAACATTGTTATCTTAAAACTTTTAAAGATATTTTGTCCGACTGTGTTTACTAACCTTTAAAAAATAAATGTCATACTTCAGGACGCCAAAGTTTTAAAGTAAAAATTAAACAACTAGTTCTGTACCCCAGAGCCAAAATCCCTAGTAACCACTACAGAATTCCACTCTATAGCGGGATTATCTTCCGGCGTAAAATGAACGTCCTTCACAAACCGTTGAACTGTAAACTGTGTACTATTTGCATCAAAGGAATTGAAAATAGCTCCTTTATTTTTCGCTGTTCTAATAAGGTAAGGGCTTTAAGCGCTGTGAAAAAACTTATGCTGCCTCCTTAGCATTGCGCCCGTACACCTCATAAATAATCATTATTTTGGCATAATTAAAGGAAAACATAACCTAAAGTGATAAATAATGACAGGAAGAAATATTGACAGCAGTGTCACAATGAAGTGGATTCCAGTCGACCAAATTTTTTACATATTATAATATCAACAATGCATCCTAAGTATCCTAGCAATTTAAAGAATTCCCTATGGTCATTTTTTCAAGTACCGTAAACACGGGTGGCTTTGGCTCACTTTCAAACTTCAGTTTAAAATTTTTGTGGTTTTAATAATCATAAACATTAAATTTTGTATACCAAAATTTGAGTCTTGAGTTGCTCTTTCATAATAACTATGTTATAATATTATATAGGGCTGAGTTTCAAAAATAAACATTAAAAACTGAGTGTGCAAAGTTACCCCCTGGTTGCGGGTTACTTTGTCTCACAGTGTTTTTTCAGTATAAAATGAATGTAATATTATATTTTATTTTTATTAGACAGGTGTTAGCAGCGACATATATCTATTGCAAGGGATTACCAATAAAAAAAATATCCTCGAGCGCTGTAGTTAATTAAGGATCATCATTCCAATGGATTGCGCATAATATAGAAATTGTAACGCGTGTATTTCTAAGAGTTTTGCACTGATACGATATATACAATTTTAAAGTGTAATAAATCCCATTTCTTTCTTTAAAACACTGATTTTCCTGTAATATAAACTCAATAGAATCGCTCAATTGACAGGTTTAGACCAACAAATTATAAATGTTAATTTTATCCAGCGCGAAAAGATTTTTCATAAATGGGTTAAAGTCACCCGCGGGGTGCAAAGTCACCCGTATTTACGGTAGCTATGTGTTTCGCATAACTTTCGGCACGTTCCCTTTTTCTCTGGGACACCCTGTATAAGTGACATAAAATCAATTGTGAAAATTGCAAAAACGTATCCTCCCACTGAAAATGGCGATTGCCAATTTTGCTATAACTTTCACTAGATTATATAAATATACCTACCTAAATGTATTATTTTATACCCACCCATAATAATTTATTATGTTATTTACAAAACCGCGAAAATTTAAATGGATCGCAGCCTTGGCATAATAAAAAAGAAAATTGGCAATAAAAAACAAAAATACCACCAGCGGGAGACTCGCATACTTACTATAGAATCAGGTTTCTTATAATTCAGTTCAATTAACTACTCTTTGAAATTTTTTGACCTTGCAATATATTTATAGCGCCTTGTTATAAACTAATAAAATGCTGTAAATAATATTTTTTGCGGGGCAAAACATTATTATATTAGTAATGCGTGAAAATAATTACACGCTGGGCGCCAAAATGCATTATGTAGAAGCAATAGTTTATTATTTCTAACAAGGTCATTGTTTGATTTAACAAAATTAGGTGTTATTGGTGGGGGCACTATATAATTAACATATTATTTGTACATGACAATTTATCATAAAATATCAATCTTTATTTATACATATGTATATAGGTATAATATTTAATGTTGTTACGTTTTTGTAAATAACAAAACTTTAGTGGTTATTGCCCACATGAACTTTAAACTTTAAATGTTTTATTAAAACGCGGAAATTTCGTACATAAATTTCTGGATTTTTATTATTGGACGAAAAATCAATGTGACCACCAAATTGATGACATTGCATCACGCTGCAGGAATTCAGTACATAAGTCTGGTTATGTCACGAATATTTTGTAAAGTGAAAATATTCTTACCTTTCAAATTTGACCCTTTGGTTATTGGAGTTGCCAACGTCCTCCCAATAAGTGTGTGTCATATCCATTTTATAAATAGTTTGGTTGTAGAGTTGTTGTTAGGTTAAGGTAACCGTATCACGTAGCACTAATATTTCAACAAAAACACAGCATATCAGCAGGAGCAGCACACTCAGACTAAACGGATTGTTTACGGATATTTGACAGGTGTCGTACAGCACTCTCGAGCCACTAAAACAAGTGAACGAACACGCTAGATTACACGTGAGCAGGATTCTGCAATCAACGAGTTGACGCGACGTTTTTGCTCTTTTTCAGATTTCCCTACGTGACCGCCATCACATACGCTCGCTATAAATTTAGCGTGAATATTATCAATTTTTTCTTGATAACCCAGGAATCCCCTGTCAATTTTTACATGCGAAACTTCTTATCGCTGCAATAGCGACAGATTGTTTTTCGTTGCAGGATTCCTAAGGGGAACGTTTGTCGTTGATAGATTCTCGGTGTGCACATGATCGAGACGGGTTATCACGTTTGGAGTAACGTGGTGGACCACGTGATGTTCGCACAGCCAATATTCTATTCTCATCGTACTTATTATGATTTTCTTGCTTAATTATAATTACCTGCGGGTCCAGATCAGATGTCAAGTAAACGATGTAAATGCGATATAAATATGAAAATGATTGTTTACTGAACTCTTGGCTGATATAGGTATAATAAACTATAAATATTTGGATAAATTATTTATCATAAATATCTTACATAACGAATAATTTGGCGCCCAACCTGGGGCCACTTAATTGATTTGGGAATTTGACCTTTCCAAAAATAAAAATGTGTGCTATTGTTAGGTTTGTAAACATAATTAATATTATAACTCACAATTAGGTTCTTTAACCTATCATAACTTTGTTATTGCTAAATAATATTATGCTTTGTTTGTTTAATTATTTACTTTTTAAAATAAGTGTTTGTACATTGTATAAAATAAAATTGATTATTACCTACCTTAATGAAATGAATTTGGCTAAGAGACAAAAAATCAGGAAGATGATTTTTAATAATGGCAAAAAAACTATTAATTGTTAATTTTTTTAAAGGATTTTATTACAAATAAAAAGATAAAAAGAATGTACGCGTATATTAATTTTAAGTTACATAAACCTTAAGGTTATATAATAAATTTATTATAATAAATTTATTAAAATATCTTTTATGAAAAATATCTTTTATGAAAAAATTGTGTCCAGCCCACATCATTCCATTAAAAGGTTATATACAAAGTTTGTATATGAGTGTTTCTACAAAAGTTGGGCAACTTTTGACCTCATTTTGTTTAGTTTTCGGAGAAAATTAAACAGTATTTTGCTATGAGAACATATATCTATAGATAATATAATAAATATACTGTTCCAGACCGGGCCAGTCACTTTTTCAAACAGTTTCTGAAATATCTGTGTTTTCTAAATTTGTATGCAATGGAAGTGAGAGTATACCAGGGGAAAATATAAGATTTATTGCAACTTTGAGCATATTATACATTAAATATCTTAAAATCAAATAATACCACACATCAGTGGCGGCTGGTGGATTTTGGGAATACCGATATCTCAATTATTAGAAATGGGACTCACATTAAATTTATATGAGTTTATAATGACATTAAATAAACAAGTTCTGCGCAAGCAGGATTTAAATTGAAGTTTGTGAAACATCGAACATGGAACTGACGACAAGGTAGGTACTGATGAATGGGATACAAATTTGAGATTATAATTCGAAATTAATTATTTAACTGATATTTTTTATTAGTCGATGCTACTTATCAACATATAGCCTTATATAAATTACAATGAAATATATATACGTAAGAAAATAACTACTCACCACAGTACTGAAATTTTGACTGGAACTATACGTGCATTCACCACAACTTCGCCGCTTGCATTGTTTTCAAGATGACTGTCGTGCAAAGGGCGGGCTCTGTAGGTAATTTTTTACCAACACTTGAGTTAAAACGAGGACTTGACGTTTAAACTTCAATATTTCGCAGGAATTTTGAATTTTAACATTGGACACAGAACTGACGGGTAAAAGTTTTATCAAAGGTAATCATTTTTTTTTAAATTGCTATTATTCGAATCTATGATAAAATATGAAAAATACATTATTTAATGTTTTATAGTTTATATTAAAATTGAAAAATTTAAGATAAATTGAATATATTTTAAAATAAAACCACTCAAATATTTGATTCACAACTTGTGACACGCCAAGGTACTGATGTTTTGAATATTTATTATGTTTTTCTACAAACGTGCTTTTGAAAAAATACATTAAAATTGGGTGGAGAAGTTAAAAAACCCTGGATCTTTTGTAATATACTAAAATATTTACAAAAAATATTAAAATACCTACTCTATTGACTGATGACATCAAGTTGTCCAACTTTTGTAGAATCACCCATATACAAACTTTGTTTTACATAGTGAAATTCCTCATTTAATTTAATTCCACCATCAAGTATCTACTATAGGTAGTATGCTATAGCATAGAGAAAGAAACAATAATAGTTAAGAAGATTTACGTAACTATGATATTAACATAGTTAAAGCATTAAATCAAATTAATATTAATTGAATAGACAACCACCTTGTTTTTTCTACTGCTTTCTTATATAACAAATGCATTTTCCTTCTCAATGTCACATTACAGCATGTCTTCGAAAGTAAACACGTGTTCTTCTTGTTTAAAGCTATAATAAAAATTCTAAACAAGTAAACTAACATGGATATTTGTTATATAATAAAATAAATTTTCATAATCTTAGTAACAAAAACTATGTAGACAATAGTCGTAAATTAAAAAAAAAATAGCAAATTATAATGAATTTTCATTGGTCCACCATTTATGTACAAAATATGTTTTATAATTAATCAGCCAAGTAGCACAACTGGTTAAATTAACGTTAAATGTACGTTAGGCATGCCTGGTTAATTTATTTAAGTAATATGTAGTATACTACAACGTTAAATTAACCTTAAATTAACGTTATTTTGTAATAAGTGGGGAATTAAATTATGGTAAAACCAACGTTATGTTAGTTCAATTTTACTTCTTAGTTAATGTACCTTTGGTTAAGAATAAGTTAATATTTGATAGTTTTTGGTTTATTTTACCCCTTTTTAACTACTGTTTAACTCTTAAGTCAACTATAATAACTATAATTAACCGGTTTAACTTAATTTCAACTCTACCAGGGAAAAATCTATGGGACTTTTTTTCCTAATGAAGTAGTACATAATACTTCCATATTTTAAATGTGCTTTAAAATATATAGAAAATAAAAAAATTTAAAATTAAAAATTTTGTTTGCCTATTGTTTCTTTATTTTATTTGAATTAATATACTTTTAAACATAATAGTTATTTATGTATTAAGGGCATAATAAGGTTTCTATGGTCCGAGGCGCTATTTCGAGTCCGAGCGCGTTAGCGCGAGGGCTAGAAAAGCGTCGTAGGACCATAAAAACCAGTTATGCCAGCAATGCATACAAAACTTTATGCACGATATATTATTATTTTTAATATATTATTGTTTTTCAAGACGTTTACGTCAAAGAATTTTTGTTATAATTGTCATATTATAATGTCAACTGACATCAGTCAGTTTTAAAGTTTAAAGGTGAATGAAATTGAGGAAGCAGCTGAAAAGGCGAAAAATTGCGGCCCGCTGCCGTAAAAATCAAAATCTTTATACGAAAAAACTTACTTCAAATGGTGTAACATTGTTGTTTTTAATTTTTGACGTTTTATTATAGCCCGCTGGGTCATAATAACGTCCGCGGGCTATAAAAAGACGTTTACGTCAAAGAATTTTTGTTATAATTGTCATATTATAATGTCATCGTGCATAAAATAATATTATGTTTTATTTATTATTGGTTTGTTTAAATTACCATATTTTTAGAATAAAACAAATTAATTAAATTAATGGCATTCCCTTTTCTTAGAATGGACAGCAAACAATATAGCAATTTTAGGATGCTTTTACTTATTTGTTATATAACCAATATAAATCACCCTGCAAGTTTATTTAAACCATTTGGTTATTTTATTGTGTTTAATGTAACTACTTTATTTACCTATCAGTAATTTATAACACATTAGTTTTGGTTTAAATTTGGTTAATATTAACACATGTTACGCATTAATATTTAGCAAGATTAGTTAAATTAAAAGATGTATTGACTGTTTTTTCAATGCAGGTAATAATGAAAACTGCAAAACCATCACTTTTTTAACCAGTTTATTAATTAACGTTAATTTATCAGCAAGTTCAAATATATTTGATAAAATATAAATTGTTGGTTAAAAAATATATTCAAATTAACCAAAAAGTTATATCACAAGTTAAACTAAGCCAAAATTTGTCTAATAAAATAACTGGTCTTAATCATTTTCAAAAGTTAAAATTAGAAGTTAATACAACGTTATGTTACCTTTAAAATAACCTACTTTTTAACTTATAAGCAATATTACTAATTAGTTTAGTTAAATATTTGGTTTATTTATAGTGAATTTAAACTTTTGAAATAACCTTAATTTATTTACAGGTAGGTAAGTTTATTTTATTTCAAGTGTTTAAAATGACCATAAATAAACCAAATATTTAACTAGTTAGTAATATTACCAATAGGTTTCTTTTATTAGTTAAATGATACTAAAAATTAACCTTTGAATGTACCTCAATGTTAAAAAATGGTAATGTTTGATTACAACCAATTGGTTAAAAAAATAAGTTAAAAACAACGTTATTATACTTAAATTTAGATTAATTTATTTAGAATGCTACACTGCGCGTCAAAATTAACGCATAACAAGAAAAAAATCCAACTCTAAAACGCATTTACCAATCTTTATAAAATTTTGGATAAAAATACCTTAACTTATATCTCAGTTTAAGTGTTAAGGGTTTTTGGAGAAATAAGGATATTTTCTTTTAATTAATAATTTATTTAAGAATAAAAAACGCTCGAAAAAAAACTTTTATATATAAAAAAATTCCCTATAGGGAATTTTTTTTAAGTAAATAAAAAATATGCTGTAAAATACCGTATTTTTATTAGTATACCCTGAAGATGTACAAATCAAACGAACATTAACGCAAATACATTTTGTTTTTTAAAGAAATTAAAAAATCCCAAATGGTCTGCGAATTTGGTCAAATATTA